GTATACAACACTAAATTTACTGCGCTAAATGTCACTTCCCTCCCAATCGTTCCTATTCTACAGAATTGTGTATACTATTTATTTACATTCTTTAATCTCAATATAACTAAAATAGACTTTTGTTTGAAGGGTATTGAAAACATGTAAACAAAAGGGACGCTACTCTAAATCTATGCGAATATTTATATGCAGTGGCGTAGGCAGGGGGGGTTTATGGGGGGTCATGTGACATTTATGGGGGAAGTGACATTTAGCGCAGTAAATTTAGAGGTTAGGTAGGGTATAATAAATGGTGGGGTTAGGAAAGTTAAGGGGTCCATTCTCTAATAGGCAATCTATGTCTCTTTCGTACTTTCGTGTTGGTTTATTGTCGAACCTGTCCTCACCTCACATCACAACAGTTGGGTGACGCTTACCGTGTAATGTTAAAATAAATAGCATGTAATTGAGTTAGTTCGAAGTGAGTTTTCATACAAGCCCAACGCACTAATTAAGGTTGTCGCAAAATGTAACATATATGTAACATATGTCAATGATGTCAATGAATTTTCATTAAAAAAATGATGTCTAGTACAGTTCACGAAACTTACGAACTTCGCCGATACTTTTTTGGTGGGAAGTTTGGTAAGTATGTAGGCGGGTAGGTGGGTAGGTGGGTAAGTGGGTAAGTGGGTAGGTGGGTAGTTAGGTAGGTAGGTAGGTAGGTGGGTAGTAGGTAGGTAGGTAGGTGCGTCATGATGTGAAAAAAATATTAAATACAAAATTGTTATTTTGGTGCGAATGAATATTGTTACGAGAGATATGACGAATGCATGTTTGATGACGCGGATGAAAGAGAGTGAAGTTTTGCCATAGGAACGGGTTGTTATAGTATGCAAGCTAGGTAGTTCGGACTAGGGAGAATGTGAAAGATACTTCGTGTAATGTCGATAGTTTTATGTTTATACGAGAATAGTAGTTGAATAATTATTGACCAAGAAAATAATAGGCATTGTGTAAAGTGATTATCGCCTGTATCGTGGTGATGGGAATGCAGATGGTAGTGGTACGCTTTAAATGGTAGTAGATCACGTGATCAAACACGACACTCTCACAGCAGCCCTAACAGTCATGTATAAATGTGTCATCTAGTCGATATGGTCTTTGTGCTAAATTTCTCTTTTGCACATTTTTCGTTGTGTTTTTTCTGGTTGCGCATTTTTCTGTTTCTGATTGCGCTTTTTTTCCGTTTGCGCTTTTTTCTGTGTGCGCTTTTTTCTGTTTGCGCTTTTTTCCGTTTGCGCTTTTTTCTGTTTGCGCTTTTTTCTGTGTGCGCTTTTTCTCTTTGCGCTTTTTTCCGTTTGCGCTTTTTTCTGTTTGCGCTTTTTTCCGTTTGCGCTTTTTTCCGTTTGCGCTTTTTTCCGTGTGCGCTTTTTTCTGTTTGCGCTTTTTTCCGTTTGCGCTTTTTTCTCTTTGCGCTTTTTTCCGTTTGCGCTTTTTTCTGTTTGCGCTTTTTTCTGTGTGCGCTTTTTTCTGTTTGCGCTTTTTTCTGTTTGCGCTTTTTTCTCTTTGCGCTTTTTTCCGTGTGCGCTTTTTTCTCTTTGCGTTTTTTTCCGTTTGCGCTTTTTTCTGTTTGCGCTTTTTTCTGTGTGCGCTTTTTTCTCTTTGCGCTTTTTTCTCTTTGCGCTTTTTTCCGTGTGCGCTTATTTCCGTTGCGCTTTTTGATTTGCGCTTTTTTCCGTTGCGCTTTTTTCCGTTGCGGTTCTTT